GATCAATTTGGTATTTATAAATTTGCTGAAATAACTATATTACCCTTCATTTTATTTGTTGTTTTTAAAAAACCAAAACCCCCACTGACCGGCCAGTCGTTGGAGCTCAACGACTGGTCACAATTGGTCTTTAGAGCTCCAGTGGCTAGAAACAATTATTTTGAAAATTTTTACAACTTCATTATAATGGTTAACAACTTTTGTAATGCTATTAACAATTTCAGTATAACAGTTAACAATAGGTTTATTAGAAAATTCAACAATTGGTCGACGAAACTCTAGTGGCCAGAAACAAATTTTTTAAAATTTTTTACAAATTTCAGTATAATGATTAATAACTCTTGTAATGCTATTAACAACTTTAATATAGCAGTTAACAAGAAGTTTTCCGGCAAATTCAAAAGGTAGCATTTTTACAACTTCAGTAATGCTGTTAACAATTCCACAGCTCTATTAACAACTTCGGTATAGCATTTTAATAATAGGTTTTTTTAAAAATTAAAAAAAATGGCATTTTTACAACTTTAGCAACTAGTTTTTTTTAAAAATTTTTTTTACAATTTCAGTATAACGGTTAACAACTTTTAAAACCTTGTTAACAACTTCAGTATAGCAGTTAACAGGTTTTTCAGGAAATTAAACAATTGGTCACTAGAGCTCCAGAAACAATTTTTTTAAAATTTTTTACAATTTCAATATAGCAGTTAACAACTCTTGTAAGCTATTAATAATTTCAGTATAGCAGTTAACAAAAGTTTTTTAGAAAATACAAAAAGTAGCATTTTTACAACTTCAGTAATGTCGTTAACAAGTTCCGTAACTCTATTAACAATTTCGGTATAGTATTTAACAACAGCTTTTCTTAAAAATTTAAAAAAAATAGCATTTTTACAACTTTAGCAACTTTTTTTTTTTAATTTTTACAATTTCAGTATAATGGTTAATAATTTTTGTAGTACATTATTAACAATTTCAGTATAGCAGTTAATAATAGATTTTTTAAAAATTTAAAAGTAGTATTTTTACAATTTTAGTAACGTCGTTAACAACTTATGTACGTCTATTAACAACTTTGATATAGCATTTAACAACAGTTTTCTTAAAAATTCAAAAAATAACATTTTTACAACTTTAACAATTTTTTTTTGAAATTTTTACAACTTCACTATAATGTTAACAACTTTTGCAACGTTATTAACAACTTCAATATAGCAGTTAAAAACAAGTTTTTTTGGAAAATTCAAAAAGTGACATTTTTACAACTTCAATAATGTTGTTAATAATTCAAAAACCTATTGTGAACGACTATACTAAAATTGTTAATAGCATTACAAAAGTTGTTAACCGTTATATTAAAGTTGTAAATTTTTTAAAAAATTGTTTCTGGTCGTCAGAGCTCCGGCGACCAATTATTGAATTTTCCGAAAAATTTGTTATTAACTACTATACTGAAGTTATTAATAGCGTTATAAAAGTTGTTAACTGTTATTCTGAAGTTGTAAAAATTTTCAAAAAACTTGTTTCTGGCTGTTAGAGTTTCGGCGACCGGCTGACTAATGAGGACTTTGGTTTTTTAAAAACAATAAATAAAATGGAGGGTAGTGTGATCATTTCAACAAATTTATAAATGTCAAATTGGTCACTTGTGAGTAAATTAGGATTTTACAAATTCAGGTGATCATTTTGGCATTTCCAAGTTCAAGTATAATTTTTGTGTCATTTTCCCTAATATTAATATTTAAACTTAATTGAAAGATATCTTATCAAACGTCGTGCTATTAACATTTATTCCATTAAAACTGATGCTGCGGTTTCTGTACATAATTTTTATTCTATCCGTAATCCTCCTCCGGCAATTTATTATTTAAAAAAAAATTTTTAATGCCTATATTATTATAAATCAAAGAACTGTAAGGGAAATTGATGTGCTACCCAATTATTTTAGTTTAGTTCACATGATTTTTCAAAAGGAAACAAATATTGTTGAGGAAGTTGATGGTTTTAATTTTATTTTTTTAAAAAATTTGGCGTTTTCAGTTTTCACGTTATTTTCGTTTCGTTACATCAGTTCCTTCAACTGACGACAACCAAAGCGAGGGCTTCGGTCCTTCGCTAGGGTTTGCGAATCTGCCATTGCCCATTGTTATGCGCTTGTGCTTGTTACGACTACTTTTTACTTGTAAAAGCTTCAAAGTTCTTATTTTGTGCTTTCCCTTTGAACTCGATCCTTCTGAAAGACTCATGTTAAATGTGTTCCGAGTACCTGATTCGAAGTTCAAAGGTATTCCCTTTATTCTCCACTTCTAGATTTTCTTCATCTGTGTTCTTGCACTTGCAGTTTCCTTACATGGTTTTCTGGAAAATCTTTAATTTATTTGAAGCTTTTTTGAATTTGCATCTGGGTGTTGACAATTCTGAAGTTTTCAGGGAAAAAAGATTTGATTGTTAGTTGACACTGTTTTTGCCCCAGAATCAAGTCAATTACGAAGAAATTGTTTGATCTTGAGCATGGTTTTGCAAATTCTTTTGTTCGAGTTTGAAGTGATGGAGAGCATATGATTGGGAGGTAAGATATTTTGTGATTGGAGTTTGGCTTTCAGGATTGGAATTTGATCAATCTGTTGATTGGATCCGCTTTGAAGTTAATGAATTTGACCAATTGGATATTGAGTGTTTAATTATGATGAATTTAGATGCCTCAGGATCAGATACATTTGAATTAGAAAAAAGCCTTCATGGTGGGTTTCTTTGATCTGTTGATTTTGGGCTTTTGGTGTAGAATACTGAGTATCTTGAGGGGGAGTAATCTCTGAAGTTTGACAATGTCGTCGGATAGTCAGGGCCCCTCAACACCATTTTCCTCCATTGGCCGTTCATTATTTGGTATCAGGCGGGAGCAGGTTCATTCTTTGGAGGTGAGTCATGAATCCGGATCCCATGATACAGGGCTTGAATCATTCCAGAAGCTGGTCACAGATAGATTCGATGAGCTTTGTGGGGTCAGTGATGATGAATTGCTCTCTATCCAATGGATGCTGAAGCTCCTTGATGCATTTGTCTGCTGCCAGGAGGAATTCAGGGCCATTCTACTGAATAAGAAGGAACAGATCTCAAAACCCCCTCTTGATCGAATAATTTCTGAATTCTTTGAGAGTTCAGTGAAGGCACTTGATATTTGTAATGCGAGCCGTGAAGGGGTTGAGAAGATTCGGGTGTGGCAAAAACAATTGGAGATTGTCATGTCTGCCTTGGACTCTAAAAAGAGAGCATTAAGTGAAGGCATGTTTCGGAGAGCAAGAAAGGCATTGATGGATTTGGCACTGGCAATGCTTGATGACACTGGGTCTGCTTTTTCACAACGCAACCGATCTTTTGGACGTCATAACACAAGCAAAGATAAGCATTCCCACTCAGGGCATTCTCGGTCTCATTCTTGGAGTGTATCTCGCTCCTGGTCTGCAGCCAAGCAACTGCAATCCATTGCAAATAACTTGGCTCCACCTCGTGCAAATGAGACTGCTGCAACCAATGGTCTTGCTATTCCTGTGTTTACAATGTACTCTGTTCTGTTGTTTGTCTTGTGGTCTCTTGTAGCAGCGATTCCTTGTCAGGATAGGGGTCTGAATATCCATTTTTCAATACCGCGGCAGTTCTCATGGAGCACCCCCATAACCTCACTTCACGAACGAATCTTGGAGGAGTCTAAGAAGCGTGAACGCCGGAACTCAAATGGCTTGTTGAAGGAGATATATCAAGTGGAGAGATGTACCCAACACTTGACAGACCTGGTGGATTCAGTCCAGCTTCCATTAACAGAGGAGCAGAAATTTGAAGTTGAACAGGTTACAGAGGAGTTGAATTTGATTTATGAATCTTTTAAAGGTGGTCTGGATCCACTGGAGTGCCAAGTGAGGGAAGTTTTCCGAAAGATCATGGCTTGCAGAACTGAGGGGCTGGAATACCTGAGTATGTCAAACTATGCAGAGTAAGGAAATCGGTGAACTTGTTACAGAGGAAGATCAAATGTACAAATTTGTGAAGCGTACACATTTTGTATCTTGCTTTTTGGAAGGAGGAAGAGTTACCAAATGCGTTTAGAGTATAAACTCCTAGCCTGCCTTGTATTTGTCTCTGTACTTGTGTGAGAGAACATAATGTTCAGGTTACTTCCTAAATATCTCATGCCTTATTTGCTCATATGGTTTATGTCTTGCACTTGCACTTTTCTTACAAAATTTGTAATACAGTAAATTCTCACAATGAGGAAAAAGAAAACATTCATGAGCTTTAAGCCATCCTTTTTGTAATGACACTGCTGCTAGTATTACTACTCTAGTGATGTCCACTTATTGTACGGAGGACAAATATTTTGGAGACAGAAAATGTCATCCTCAAGAGTTTGATTGTGCTTGAAACAGTCAAATGAGATGTTATAGGTGATAGTAAAATTACATGCTTTTTTTAACGCACAATTTAAATGTATGTACACAAATATGTCAACGGCTAGTTGAGACCTTCTCCAAGCGTGGGGGATTGTACTACCATTGAGACAGTTTGCTGTGAACACGTTTTATTTCTCAGGCCATGGTCTAATTACAAAGTTGGTAATAAACTTCTCGATATGTGTTTGATTTTGGGGTCTGATCATAATGTAAGTAATTAATTACATATTTTGGTTCAAATGGCTAGAAACGTTTGTTTTCCGAAATTATTCTCTTTAAAATAATGAGTTGTCAATGATTCCACAATGAAATCATACATGACGTATCAAATGGTTGCTACCTGATGATATACACAAGAAGCTCTATCAGATGCCCGCCGTAATGTTGGATTTATTTGGAACAATAAATACTTTAAGAAATTATGAGGGGTTTGAAGTTTTAAAAATGGTCAACGAACTTACCAACCCAATCTTATATTTTTAATAGTTGAAGATGCTTGTCTTGAGGAATAGATCAATATTTGATAGACATCTCACAAATAAAAATATTACAGCAGCGTTTTCTAAATAAAATAGACAGTAACTTTATTGGAAATTCATCGAATTCCAACTGAGAATGTACATTTTTTCTAGGTTCTAAGCCTACTGAGCTGACACCTTCTATAAACTCACAACAGATATTGTACACCTATGCTCCTGTTACTTGTACACCAAGTAATACAACATGCCTGACTAAGCAACACTGCAAACCCTTAATAATCAGGTCCTTTAGCAGAGCCCAGTAGAGACTACTAGCATAAAAGGTGCATCCCTATCTTGGACATTGAGCGAGAAAATATATAAAACAGAACAGTAAGTAATTCACAGGCCAAGGTCCCATAAAAATTCAATGGCTCTACTATATGCTCTTGTGAAAGAAAAATGGAGCAAAATTTGGCCAAAGGTTGGAAAGGATCCACCAATTTTTGTCCTACTATACCCACCTGGAGGAGTTTCGACCTTCAAAGGAGTTGAACTTGGCACCCATGAAATTTTCTTGATTCCAATGGAGGAATCAGTTATACAGGTGCAGAAATCTTGTGCCAAAAACCTTCGCCAATTTTCAAAATGAACTGAGTTGAGAGACTTCCATGTAGATTTCTGCAAGACTAAGTGAAGAGCTCGGGAAAAGACCACATTATGAACTTAGCAAAAATGTCAGACTCCAAGAACTCTATATGAGCAGCCCGCCCAATGAGTGTGTTTAAGTTCTTGCCGTATGAGGAGGTATTGAAGTTGATGTCACAGCGCATGACCACACCATGGTCGGTGAGGGCATTAATTTGGTGCAAGCAATTATTTAGCATCTCATGGAAGACTTTCCCTTTTTTAGAGTAATCCAAGGAAGCTGATGGACAATGTTCAATTCTGGCAGAATGGTAGGGGACATAACCATCCTGAAATGAAATTGAGAGGAAGCGCTAGGAAATATTTTAACAAATAATAGAAAGGGGTAAATGGATATTTAATAAAACAGTGCTATGGAATTATTTTTTTGAGTTGAACGGTGCTATGGAATTATTAATTTTACACAAGGCATATAATCAAAACTAGTTGATAGCTCTAATAAAACCAACACAAAATGTGAAGAAACCATATTAAAGGACCATCGCAGAAAAGCAGATGGAGTAGCTGCAATTATGCATTATTTTAAGTCCTATACTGGCAGGAAAAAAAGGTCCTATAGAAGTGAGCTTTCCACCCAGCATATTTCTTTTAATTATTCAGCTCCCGTTTCTTTTCTTGATCCATTGGTTTCAGATATATACTTTTTACTACTACCACGGGTCTTCAAGATAATAGCTAATTTACTAATTTGAGTGGATTAAGAAAATTAGTTAATTTAGTTGTTTGTAATAAATAAGTATTGTCTTTCCTAAAATGCCCTTACTAACCAAGTGTCATTTCATGAAATATTTAATATGTACAACTGCTACAAGGACCATACCTTAGAAAAAATAGATAAATATGAAAGATAAAGTGGATTGGGATCTTATCTTTAGAATCAAATTAAAAGTCAAACAAGCTCTTATATTAAGGACAGAAGTGATCAAATAGATGAATGCAAGCTCTCAGGATGGAATTCAGAAAAAGTTTTCCGATGAACGGGCCTTATTAAATTTCAACTTATCCAGATTCTCATCATAAGCATACCAAAAAGGTTACCTGAGGTGAGGACAAAAGTATTATATTCCTGAAGTTCACCAGTGTCTTCTTCTGCAGTAAAAGAATAGATGTTATTTAACTTCAGCAGCTAAAGACCAACAAAATGACACTTATTTCCCATTGTTCCCTTCATCAAAATACGCCAACTAAATTGAACAGCATAGAAAACATTTGCCATGAGGATTCAAAAGAATAAACAAGCTACAAGACTCAGACCAAAACTTCAAGGCAGCAACCTTCTAGCAGTTGAATTTCCAGTAATCACTGCTTACCTCCCGCCACAACCCCAAAAAACATTCACCATATATCAAGAGAAAATAAGCATGCATTCACAATTCAGTACCTTGGAAAGATTGTAGATGAAGGTGTTTTCAAGATCAGGATCATCTGTAAATGTCAGCTGATGGATGCATTGTATGTCCTTCAGCTTCTTCAAGAGCCACAACCCTGAATTGAACACAGAGTTTGAACTATACATATAACCCAGGTGAGGACCCGATATTGAAACATATGTATACAGGTATCTTAAATATGGCTCCATGATGCTCTCTGCAATTCAAAAACAAAAAACAAAAAAAAAGAAAGAAAAGAAAAAGAAATTCTTTTAATAATGTGATTGTGATCAACACTACTTCTATAAGATTTATGCATGCACACCTGCTAAAGCAGTCCTGATAATGAGATTTCCAATAGAATGGCCAACAAAGCTAAGCTTGATATCTTTCAGGTGTCCACTTCTTGAAAATTTATCCATCTTCCTTTTGACGAAAGAGACCACCTCCTCTGCAAGTCGTAAACCCATTTCTCTGAAGTCTCCAGATGTTTTGTCTTCATTAGCCTCTGACATAAGGAATTGTATCTTGGGATCTATCAGCAGCCATTGGTTCCGCACAAGCCGTAAATCCAAATGATGTCCCTGCAAAGTTTAAGTGATAGTCAAATGATCTATTAACAGAACAATAAGGAGGATAAGACAAATTCTGAACTTGCCAATGAAATGAATTCACTATGACTATAAACATTAAAGTAGGAATGCCGTCAACTAAAACATTACATATAACAATCAGCAAAAGCCACTAACATCTTTTGAGCACAACATAATTCATGCTAAAATCATGAGAATTGCAGTAATATATCAGTAAAAAGGCAAGCAAAAATATTGTAAAAAATAAGGCAGATGAAACTACACTACAAACAACAGTATAAAAGAAAAGAAAGAAGGCTGTTGCATTGCATATCTCTATGTCTACTGCTGTGAAGGGTAGATCCGCATTACCAATTAGTCATTGGTTTTGGCGAGTGATTGACTTATACTTGAAACGGGAAAGTATAACAGACCGAGTTTACCCTTTAATTTCAGATATATACCATAGAACAGCAATGGTTGAGGCATGACTTGAGCAAACAAACAGATCTAAAAGGAACCGGATGTAATTTATTAGAGGGAGAGCTCACGTGTGTAAAAAACAAATGCATGGATGCATGAGTATGACTGTCTCAATGTAACAATATAAAATGAGGTTTCATGCACATACATAGAAGAAATTAGGATGAACGGGGCCCATTTGTACTAATAACTTTTATAATAAGATAAAATTTCTGGCAAGAATAATTCAATGTTAAGCCTCTATTGGGACAGTAAAACCCTTCTGTAGGACAATCAACAAAGGAGCAGAGTTTCTTGAAGCATTCATGGCTACTTTGTTATGACCATCCCAAACTTCAAATAAAAGAATACATCCAGCCCCAATATCACATGGCTGTAGTGGCTAGATACAATGACTAAGATAAGACAATAGATTATATTCATTAACTTGAAAACTTTATCCATAGACAATTGTTCAATGAGACGTGTCAACATGTTTACCAATAAGTGCTCATTTCAAGACAAAAAGGCAATTAGCTTGGGTTCATAATGTTTATCCAATGCATTATAATGTGCCTCCAAGTCTATTGCTAATGGTTAAGGCAAGGGATTTGGTGATTTGTCGTTATATACTAGAGGTTCATTATTGGACAAAGGGTTCACAGATGTGGTCACACCTCTAAATTTTTTTCGACTACTGAGGGCTTGTTTGGATTGTCTTATAAGTAGCTTTTCAAACGTGATTTACAGAATACAAGGTAAGTATGTGATAAGAGTTTTGTCTCGGCTTATGTGAACTTGCTTAAAAGTTCGTCGTGAACGGAGCTCCAAACAAGCCCTAAAACATATGGTTGTGCAACAAGTCATTTGAACAACAAATTATAAAGGATACAATGTTAGGACCCTTTACAAGGTATGGCATTATATGGTTCTCACCCACGAGCTAGATTTTCGCGCATGATTCTCTTAAATGTCCATATCAATGGTATCAAGGACTTATACTACCCTCCATTCTCTACTTCTTTCCCACGTTCTGTTCTCCTTTCCTCTTCCCATCTCCCATTCTCTTGCTTGTGTGTCGTTGCCCAGGTTTAAGAGTCTGGATGCTAGGTTGTGGAGCATGCTGGAATGTTGGAACCTATTGCAAAGGCATAGGACTTGAGTCTCACTTGATGGATCCTGAAGCTTTTAACCTCATGAGCTAAATTCTGTTGTGACTATCTTAGAGGTTTATATCATTGGCAAATTGGTATAAGAACCTTCTACAACTCTCTCTTTCCATTTTCTCTCCCATAAATCTCCTGCTCTCTCCTTTTCCTCTTGCCCGTATTGAAGTCAAGTTTTGGAGCCCTCTTTCCACTTGATCTCAACCATGCATGGTCGTCATGCTGTGGACTGAGGTGATGCTAAGACCCACTGCAAAATATGAGACTTAAGCCCCACACCAGAAGTATGGGATACGGACATCCGATTGGTATGGACATTAGGTTCTTCAATCTTGTGATCTAGCTTGAGTTATGGTTCTCTGAACACAGAAGCTACCTGTTAGGCTATGGCTCTCCTAAAGATTAATATCACTTATCAAAATGAATGGACTAAAATGCTCCATGTTTACAGATAAATAAGTTTTCAAAAAGCACACAATTTGAATCTGCAGCACCCAAGCTATCTCAAAATTGTCATTTTGCTCAAAATGTGGAGACAAGTTAGCAGTGTTGAACCAGCATTTTGCTTAAGTTAAGATGTGAAAAAGTTTATGAGCTTATGAGTGATATTTTCCTGCCCCCAGTACCCAGCTGCTATGGCTAAAAAACCTCAGGAATGATGAACCAACATGATTCAAAACATCAATTCTGTAACCCTTGGTAATCCAAAGAAAGGAGGCAAATCCCTCACTTTAACCTAGAATTTGGAAACATCGTAGACAAGCTTCAAATATGGATACAACATTTGATGTATTTAACGCAAAAGTTATCCGTTCAGCTCCAACATGTTGAGTGGTTTTGTGTAACAAAAGCCATATGAAGATAATCTAGAGATTTTTCATTTTCACTTTTTTTTTTTGGTGAATTCATTTTGAATTTATTACTACGTGATATATCATCCCAAAACAAATGAAGGTCCAAAGCAGCAAGAAATGTAAGAAGAGATGCCAAAATAACTATAGGGATGAAGGCAAATGTAAGAGCTGAAACATGCCTGAAATCCATGCACAAAAACAACTACTCTCAAAACTTGCCCATTTCGTTGTGGGCTACTCCCAGACTTGTTTGTGCCTCTAGATCCGTTTTCCAAGATAAGATTTGCTTTTGCCTCCAACGGATTGAAGTAAGAATTTACACTTGGAGAATGATCCATATTTGCCATCCGTTCTATAATAATAATAGGAATGCGCAAAGGATCCTCGAATATATACATGTCTTGAAGTGACCTATTGTTGATCTGCACTAAATTCATATTTGTCACAACCAGTTTGCACAAGAGAAGCATATAACACAGTTTCCGTTCAATAGGAAATGGAACGACTATAAAGCATTCTAGACAAGCAGCCACTCACCTTCATTTGTGCTATTCCTCGTCTATGAAGTTCAGCACGCATTGTTGCAGTCTGAGAAGGCTAAACAGAAAAGAGAGACAGCAGACCCAAAGAATTGTTTTAGTTAAGCAGACTTACATGCAGAAAATATAATGATTAATCCCAAATATAACAGAAGATGATCAAGTTTATGATTCTTGTACAAAATATATTAGATATTTACATCATCAGTTAACTTCCTCGGATTTAAAGATCTTCCATGTGTGCCCCAGCGCATTATTGTTCCTTCAACTCTGCTACTCAAACTCTGATGGGGCATCTCAGATATGGAGTGTACCATCCATATTGACCATTCAGATCTTCGATCAATAGCCCATGAATGACGTAGAAATTCGAGTATCATTGTTTTATTTTCCCTGGGTTAAAAAATAAAGGGAGGGAAAAGAAAATCATATCATTGCATCAATTTAATCCTTTAACATCATGTTAAAATTATTAGAGTGCCTCTTGTGACAAAAGAAAACAATCACGCTAAGACTTTATTTTAGTAATAAATGCGTCACAATATGCATAAACGGAAAAGCAGCTTCATTCAAAAGAAGTTAAAACTCTCTTAGACTGTAGATCAGGCTCAAGCTTGGCTGATAAAAGCAAGGAAATATCAGCCTAGAAATCAGGAAAGAAATTGAGGAATAACTTTTCCAGATACAATAAAGATCGGAATAGATGCAGGAATACAGAACAAGAAATATGAGCAACTATAAAGCTGCGACACTTGAGATAATTAATGGACATGTAATTACTTCAGTAATATATGTCAGCATACCTGTGAAATTTCAGAAACGTGTTCCACAGCTGTAAGAGCTGATTTCCCAGAGACTGATAAGAATTTAACAGATCGTCCCAAGATAAAGACTGAAACAATTTGTATGTATGCATAGCAATATAACCATTAGCTTTCTATTGAAGGAAAGGTAGAGCTACTACATAGAAATAAGTCTGAAAGATCAATAAAAGGGAGAATAAATAGCAAAGCATTCACACTGCAGTTCTTCTACCTCAGCACTGCCTTCTGAGCTGGTAGACAGTTGCTGTGAAAACCTACTGTCAGTAACGTCTAAATGTACCAGTGGAGAAGAATTAGCAAATTTTGTACGGTCAATTGTGGGATCCATCCCAGTAAGATCAATAGCTTGGTTGATTCCTTCGCTTAACCTTCTCAGATCTTCAAGGAGGATATCATGGGCAGCCATTAATGCTTTGATGAGCTTAGCCTGATTTGAGATTTGCCCATCAGTACAACTTACTACAGCAATAAAAAGGATTTCAAGGGGAAAAAAAAAGTGTAATGAGTTTAGCAAATAATATAAATCACATGCTTATCATAGCAGTATCTTCATAAAAGGAAAAATATTATTGAATAAAAAATCAAGTAGACTTAGATCATGTGAAATTTACTGCGATAAAACTTGCCTTGTTTGACTTAATAGAATTTTCCTCATGAGCACCTTCAGAAGACCCATAATCACTGGCATAATACAAGTAATCAATTATTAGAGCCGCAAAGTATGCAAAACTCTAAATTATTTCGATGCAACAGTGACCAGCATTATGATGCAAGCTTCTAAAGATGAAACTCTGACAAACCTGGGTACCTTCAGTCGGCTTGTGTGATAGCTAGCTTTTTGCAAACTGACATGAACACTTGTATCAACAAGGACAGCATGTGAAACATCAAAATGGACAGGACAATATGAATGTAACCCGAGAAGAGCTTTAGGGGGAATTCTATACTCATGAACTGAAGCAGAATAAGCATCTGGAAACGCCTGCATCTCAGCTCTGCACAATGATGCAAGCAGTTCCAGGGTTCACATCTTCCAATTGACAATAATTATTAGCAAGAAAATAAACTCCACTTCAATAAATATCCATGTTTTGAATTTCATTTGTTAAATATACCAAGAAGTGGGAATGGCATCATTGACTAACCCAATATCAGATGTAAGGGCCTGCATAAGCTCAAACTTCATGATAACAGCAGACGATTTTGCCTGAGAAAATAAAATCAATCATCACCCATTATCTTACGAACTAGAGGGAAAGAATCAAGTCCATAAGAAACATCGGTGAGCGTAACTGGAATTGATACACTTATATAAACTGATTTTGACACATAATTATGATGTACTTACATTATTGTTTGTTTATTGCCTAAGTTCTTGTGTGATTTGTTTCCTTTCCCAAGTTCTTTGCTCTGTTCATTATTTATGTTTTCATTATATTGTCTGAGGGGTCTTTCCACTTCTTTCAAGAATTTCAGTATTCATTTAACGTGAAACTATATCACTGTATCAAATTTATATTAAGTCAGGACATTTTTAGGGCTTTCAGTTGGCCACGTTGGAAAACCCCAAAAACATCACATGAAGCCTCAAACATACCCTTCTTTCTTACTTTTTTGGCAAGACAAAGATATCATGTTTTCAACAATCTTTCCTCTATTTTATCTGTTTTTAGCGTGTCAGCTACCTAGTTGATTTGTTCGACATAAAGAAACCCTCTCAACTACCTGCATATATACAATATCTTTCATATCAAACTATCACAGGATAAGACAATTACTGACCTCATGTCCTGCAAAAGAAAGATAGAATGAGATCATAATAGAAAGAACCACATCCTGCCTTGCATATTTGATTCGAAATGGTGGTGTTGAAAAACTGTTGTCTGCATCATCTATTTTCCAAACTGTACATAAATTGTCATAACCCACTTCAGGAGCTGCAGCAAAAGATCAAGATGGATTCTCAGATTTCACTCCACATTAATCGCAGTAAAAAGATAACCATCTGATGGACCAAGATACTTCAAATCAAACACAATAGGGCCACTGCCTTATGATATCAACAGCATATAGTAGGCTTGAAAAAGCCGGAAAAAGTTTTCAAAACATGAAGGGTAAATATTTTAACTTAATTCAGACTACAAGAATTTCAAGTAGTTCATGGTTGGACAGTACAAATTTATTCCCCCCAACCCCAGCAAAGAAAGAAAGAAAAGGAAAAAAAAAAACTGATAATAAAAAAAATATTTGTGAAAAAGCTCTGAAAAGCTCTACATGGCATTGGGAAATGGGATACTTTGGCTTCAGGTCATATAAAATTGGCAAAAGTCAATACCATTGCACCGTGCATGATCTGGTCCAGACTTTACAGAAGTTAAAAATGATGACAAATAAACAGCATCATGAGGATCACCTCATGACTCATGATACAAGCTTATCTTCTAAGACCCTAAAATTAAGGTTTTGCGTCATTTGTTTCCACATTCCATCTTTTCACAGGAAAAAGGAAAAAAAACACACACGCAAGCACGCGGGGGGAGAGAGAGAGAAAAGACTATCAAACAGGCCATTTATAGAACTCCTATTAAATCAGACAAAACATAAATATCTTTTTTTGGGAAAAGGAAGTCTAAGTGGCTATTGACACGAGAAGTATGATCATTCTAAAATACTAACCGAAATTTCAGAAAGTGGTAGTGTATGAATACATGATTTGCGCACAATTTTCAAAGGCTTGATTAATGACCTAGTAAAAATCATATAAAATAATTTAGAGTGCACCTGCATTGTGAGAATTAGAAAGGGAAGTTATTCACTCTGTGAGCCTCGTCTGTTAAGAAAAATTGATTGGCAAGCTCATTGTAAGCTTGTGTAAATAGAAAGAACTTGTTCATCATATGTTGCACCTAAGAACAAAATTGCGTGGAAATCACACACAAGCATAAATATACCAATCAAACAAGCACAAGCTCTCAGTGAACCTGAATATGTAGCTCCATGAATTAACCATGTCTAGCTACAGAGAAACATCTTTAATGAATCACTAATGTCTCAAAAGATTGTAAATATATTCACCTTCATACTGAACCACCCGTGCCGGAATCCCAGGATAGGAGTCATCGCCATCCTCCCATCTCAAAGTAACCTTGATTTTGTACCACCTACATTACATGACTAACATTTAAAAATCAAAAGGAATACAAAGAAAGTATTTGAAACAACATTCACCAGAACTAATCAGTTCTGCTGAATCTAGAGCTTACCCTTGTTCGAAAAGGTCTAGATTATGAAACCTATGAATGTAAATAGCAACTTCATGAACAGCATCCATCATAGACAGTAGATTTGCTCTTGCAGGACCACGTTGCTCGACACTGGGCAACCTTTTGGTCGACATATTCCTCTGATTCAGACCCATAAACCATCGTAGCCTCCGAATCCCAAACATGAGTGGCACTGGCAGACACAGTGATTACTAATATCCAATTCCCAAATAATCATTCCTAGTTGTTTCAGTGGAAGTTGAGCAAAACCCACAACTCCTGAACCAAAATGAACCCAATACCAAACTTCCCGCTCCCCTTAGTTTCTATGCTTACTAAACCCATCAGAAACCTCTCCTTTTTCAAAGATATATAGCTTTAATGTCAAGTTGCAGAGCAAATCTGTAATGTAGGTTTTGAGCTGAAGCGATTGACGGGAGAGAGTTAGGAAAAGTCGGGATGAAAATGGAGAAAAGGCAGCAGGAAGGAGAGGAAAGAACTAAGAACGAAGACGGACTTTTTTGTGTAATCATCCTTGTACCTCGTTGGCACACAGCAGGACCCAACCAAAAAAGAAAAAAGAAAAAAACATCATTTTTTCTTGTCAAACCCTACAGCAGCAGGTGATGATGATGGCATTAATGATAGTTTTTTCTTCTGTATTTTTTTTATTAAATTCCCCAAAAAGATAAAAATGGGAACTTTGAAAAGAGCACCACAGGTGGAAGCGCATGTCGTGTCAGTATAGTCATGCGGCCATGTTCAGCTCACGTTGTGACATTTTAACTGTGGGGATCGAAAATCACGGGACGTGACTCCGGCCTGGAAATTTTGGTCGGCATCATTATTCGTCTGATCATCCGTTGTCTGTTGATAGATAGATCCCTTAACCGTTAAGACATAAAAGTAAGCTTCTTTTGCTATTTGGTGCCATGGAAAATTGGCTCAAGGTAAATCCTAGTCCTACCCTCTCAGACCCCGTTTGATTCGCTGTATTTTCCTTTAAAAAAATGAAAATGGAAATTGTGTTCCAATGTTTGGTTGGCATGAAGAGTATTACTGTATTCATATGTACCAAACACAAATCATATCAAAATAATTATCTTCTAATTCAGTGACATAAAAACTTGAGTAAATGAAAGGTTTGTCTGATGCATATCCTTTTAAATTTTAAAAAAAAAAAGCAATTGTGCAACTTTTTCAACTAAAAGTAATACTTTTTCTTCCTCACTCAATTTATTCTCTTTAGCAAAACAAGAAAGGGGAGCTTTTAAGGTGTAAATTTTGGTCATGAACCGACAAAACACTAGCTTATAAAATCCATCCCTCCTCACAGTTTCATGTGGGAGAGATACTGCTTAATCAAAGTTCTTGAATTTACCCTAAATTAGTTAAAATTTGATAAAACTATACTCAATATACTGTTCGGTTTTAAAAAGGATATAATTAACTATTTTTTATTTATTTTTTCTCAATAAGTTTAATGCATTTCATTTGATCATAATTTATATCTTCTTACTGACTCAAATTGACTTGACTTTACCGAATAAACGCCTCAATAGGGTTTAGTCATTATTTGTCACTCCAAAGCTTTGTGAAAAGATGATTTACTAGGTAACAAGTTTACAAAAATCGATCAAATAAAAAATATACACAACAAATAATTTTTACACTTTATTTCAGTTAATTTTCTTTAAAAAGTAATATTAATATATGTTACTATAAATATATATCCTTGACTGAGCATTTTTGTTTGTAATTTTCTGCAAGACATATATAGCCCCAATAGATTCTATGATTTTCTCAAATCTACCTTCTTTTGACAAAATCCCTTATTAGAAGGCTGGAATTCTCTTTCATTAGATCAAGAAAAATTTGTGAACTTGTCTCCTGGGTCATCAACTTTACAGTTGTTTGAGGTAGAGATGTAAATATTACAATTTAATTAATTATTTCATAACAAAAAATTAAAAAAATATATAAAGAAAATGCCCTATTTGGGGAATCATTTGAAATTGGAATTAGTGGGTAATATCATGAACCATGAATAGTTAGTTTACGAAATTGGGCTAAATTTTAAATATTATTTTGATGTTTGACCCTTTATCAATTTTGCAAACTCTTGACGCAATTGAGCTGCCTTTAACGTGATCTTTCGGTGCTGGAAAAGGAGAAAATGACCTTATATTGTTCTTAGTTACAAGTTAATACTGCCTCTTGTTTTATGCATATTATTTAAAAAATTAGTTAAATTAATTATTTGTAGTAAATGTATAAATATTCTATCTAATCATATGTATTGAAATTATCAATAAAAATCCTCTTAATATGTGTAATTGATAGAGATACTTTAAAAAAATAGTTATAACTTTGGGATATAAAATGAATTGTGATTTTAAATTTAAGATCGAGGTGAACCTTTTATTTAACTCCAGTATTTAAGACTAGAGGTAGCAGTTTAGTATAGGGTGCAATCTTGCAACTTAAGGATGAAAAATAAAGTTAAAATAATTTTAAATACTAAATATTTATATCTCCACTATTATAAGGAACTTTTTTGACAAATTGACTACGCATGTTAATGGAGTTCATCAAGTACAACTTGAAATCGTATTTTTATAAACTTCCAAGAACGTCTTCCAATCAACTTAACCCTAATCCAAACTTACACTTAATTATTTCCCCATCTTTGTGGGTAATTTTAGAATAGGTTCATTAATTCAAGCCTTATTTTTCTCAAAATATATTATATTACCTTCGGTTCTTAATATAAGAACTAGTTGACTAATTTGAATAAATTAAGAAAACTAGTTAAGTTAGTTATTTATAATAAATAGATATTATCTTTCTTAAAATATCCTTACTAATCAAGTATATTAATTAAAGCTATCATTATTACAAAGATCAACTTAGAAAAAAAAATAGATAAATATAAAAGACAAAGTATATTTGAGTTTTATATTTAAGACCAAAATAAAAACTAAACAAATTCTTATATTAAGAAACAAAGATAATATTTTGAAACACTTAAAAAGCCATCTCGTGATATAAAATGGAAGGAGTGATTACAAAAGTAGGAGTATGATAGACATGAACATGGTAAATCAATAATATCCCTTTCTTCCCTCCATATCATGGGAGACATTAGAATCCATGGAATAATCAATGGAATAGTTAATAATTTTTGTTATTACACTTTATCTTTTTATTTTAAATATTTGAAATAGATTAATTTAATTATGATCCGTTGGAACATGATGCAATAATTATATTCTGAACTGGGATCATTTTTTTTTTTCATCCTTTAGTATAAATATATAACTTCTTGTCAACATTTAATAAGGAGAATACTATTTTTGGTACAATTTAAAGAATAAATTTTGTATCCAAATTTTTAAAGTTTTTTATTAAAAAAATATTTTTGGTTCTTCTCTATTTAAAGCTCGAATTTGGATTGGAAAAAAAATGAAAAGAAAAAGCGTTAAGGGTCCCCAACACAAGCATTGGTGATTGGTTAATCATTCTCCCAAGTCCCAATGACACCCCAAACTGTGGTTAATAATCTTTCTTCTTTTAATTTATTTTATTATTGGTGGCCAAAACACTGAGTATTTCCTAGTTTAAAATAGTAAATTACTTTTTTAACCATCAAAATAATAATAAATTACTTTGATCCTCATCCTGGTCAAAATAATCAGGAACAAGTTGTTACCACCCGTTACCAAATATTCTTTTACCGAAGGCAGAGCTGTGATTACATATTTAAACATATTAAAAAAAAAAGGTAAAAGCTAAACTAATTAAAAAGATAAGTGAAGCTATCTGAATTAACTGAAAACTGATTATATTAAGCATTCTTTTCCTTTTTGGCCAAAGAGATACTATTGTTTATTCAATAAAAGCAATAAGCATTATATAATCCTTAACTAACAATCATTTAGAACTTTAAAAAATTATACTACCTCATGTCCTAAATATAAGAGCTAGTTGATTAATTTGAGAAGATTAAGGAAATAAGTTAAGTTAGTTAGTTGTAATGAATAGATGTTGTCTTTCCCAAAATATCTTTGATAATCAAAGGTATAAATATGAGAGATAAAATGGATTGTGGTTTTATATTTAGAACTAAAACAAAAATCAAACGAGGTTTTATATTAAGGATCAGAAATAGTATATTATTATAACCATTATTTAATGAATATCGTACTAATTAATATTTACTGTAAATTTTTCAAGAATCCAGACCATGTAATAATTACACACACATAAATAAATGATAATCATCTATATCTAAAACTAATAGGCCAATTTTGATTTTGACCATATTCCTAATCATACAAGGAAAAGTAAACTTCATAATAGATAAAATATATCTTCTAGCAAAAACAAAAGATAAATTTTATCTATCAGAATTCACCAAAAATTATATCGATAACTGATCAATTTCTTAAAAACAACCCCAATTTCCTAAAACGCTAAGGAGGAGGAAAACCACTCTTATATATAGTAACCATTAATTAACACCACAATCATACAATCATATTCATCAAACTCAAAGCTTCATTAATCTTAATTCATCGTCAATGGCGTCCCACCCCAGCATCATAGAATTTCTCCCAACCCATGTCTTATCAGAAGTTTTAGCCACAGTTGCGTCTTCTTCCATGGCCGATCTCTGTACACTCAAAACTTGCTCCAAAGAGCTTCACAATCTTATTGAAGAAGACGACTTCATTTACCAGCGGGCGTGCATGCAGAAGCTTCCCTACATTCCATGGTTCATTACACCCCCAGAATCTTCCTTCCTGACTCGTTGCAGACAAAGCGGAAACCCAGAAAGCTTGTACAGAGAAGGAATGGTGCAATACTTCAGCCCTCTGGGGCTTCATGATTCTGGTCTGGAAAGATTGAAGGAAGCTTCAGAGAAGGGTCACACAGAAGCAAGATATGTGTGTGGGATGATTCTGCTGTGTAGTGAGGTTGAAGATGAGAGGAAACAAGGGGTTGAGTTGCTACGTTGTTTTCTGGGAAAACGGAGGTTTGTGGAGACATGTAGGAAGAAGGTGGATGCATGTTTAAGGATGATGTGGAAGAACGATCGTACTCGTACGTTGTTTGGGAATGGTCGTCGAGAGCGTTTGTGTGGTTCCAACATGTGCCGTGGCTTGCAAGAAATCGCAGGGTTGGAAAGTGGGTGGCCGGGGCTTAATGAAGAAGATGAAGGTGTTTCATGTGTGTTATGCAGGTGGGATTATGAGTTGCGTCAGTTCTCTAAGATATGTTGTTGAATCAAAGTGGATCAATGCTTATAATTAGAAGGTTTTGATTTACTTTTTGGCGGTAATAATATGGTTATTGTCCGTACTTTGAATATGATCTTAGGCGATTGAATATATTTGATACGTGATGTTATGCAAGAAAAGAAACGAGAAACTCTATCATTTTCGTTTTCTTCGTGTAATTGTTACCTTTAATGGTTGAAACTATATTTTCTGGTCCGTGATCTCGATGAGTGAAGAACAACTAAATTCCAGTCATGAAGATGATATCAGAATAAGAGTAAATAGGCTGTGTTCTTATTTTTTTTCAAGGAATCTCGGACACATTAATAAAACATAAGTTTTCGTTACTCAAATTTTTATCACTGACATCAAATTATCAACTCATCAGGGAAATAGCCACTCGTTCAATTAAGACTGCATTATATATTGAATATTTCCTTCCGCGCCTGTGCAAACTAAGAGACCAAAGAACTGTTGTCCAGCCAGATTTTTCATAGTATATAGGAAGAGTCTAGAAGAATAAATAAAAACTGAGAAAATTGCAAAAGAATGTGATTATTAGTAATGAATTACAAGTAGAATCTTGAAATCAAAATGAGCAGCAATATCATTCAAGATCAGTCTTGTTACAAATAATGTACTGTCAGCGCTCTCTAGGGTAAAGATTCTATAAACTCCTGCAATACTAGTAAAAAATCTCAAAAAGCGAAAAAGAACAAAGAAAGGGCTACTCCAGATCAATCAGCCTCCCCTTCTCCTTTCACTCAATATCAACAAGCAAGGGAAGCCTTGCTGGACCATCAGCATAATACAATAACCTCACTTATTTCAACTTTTTAGCAACAGGACCTATCTGCTCAGAATCCATCATCACCATGGATCTTCCACAAGCAACAAATCAATGACCTTAACCTCTATCACTTTTACTTGCATTATTTGACTTGCCAGCTACTTTCTCTATACAAGGTAAGCTCCAAGTGCCTCTGAAAGATAACCAGCTATGGAATAACCCTGAAACTGTTTCCCCTTTTCCCTAAAATCATCTTGCTCCATTTGATTACTATCTACAGGCCATTAGGTCGATCCATCAGGTCAAAAATTACATATTGAAATCACCAATGGACCAAGTTCACTCTCACAAGGCCAAAGAAACCAATCCGTCAGACGAAAATTGCTGATCAGATCACCAGTGGGCTGAATTCACTCTCCGAATCTTTCGTTGTGGTCTATGCTTCTCCACCACTGGAATAAGGTTTTCCATGAGCTGCAGGCAAAATTGCAGGAGATTCAGATTAGATTCATTGTCAAGATGCTAAAGGCAACATATTGGTAAAACTGAAAGCAAAAATCAGATGCCCATGACCCTAGTCTCACTTGGTTGCAAATGCCGCTCCTACGCCTAGGAGATTGTAAGGGTGTGAGACTCAATTCCCCAAGAACCACCCCCCCCCCAAAAAAAAAAAAAACCAACAAGAAGAAGTAGAAGGAAAAAACCCATCCAAACCCGCCAGGGGCAAAAATAAAAAGTCTCTGCCATCTCCCTAAAACCGTGCCTTTAATAAACCAAATGGAAAGATGAAATTAACATGGCGATTTTGCCATTACTCCAGGTACGAGTGTTTAACAGTTTTATTTTTGAGAAGTATTCAACCATCAAGAAAATGTGTTATGAAGCCAATTTCACAATAGGAGATTATTAAAAATGAACAACTCTGCCGATAAAACCAAAGGATGTAGGCAAGAACTTATTTGATTTCTCAAATATACAAATGCCATGTTCAGCGAATCAAAATACTGGCAGCCAGATACAATCACGCGGATCCTTTCTCATGGGATATGGGAATCATACTCCTAATTTCCAATTCAATACAATAGTAATGTGATAGATCTGGAAATTCAAAGATTAACATATCATTCCCCAGGACCTTTAGCAGAAGATCCAGGAAAGAAAAGCGTGTGGGAAAAAGTAACTCCAGTGGACAAGAGAATTATACTGACATTCATAACCGTAAGGGCAAAGAGGTGGGGTAGCAGTACGGTTCAGGTGTAGCTAAAGGTGGGAGGTGTTTGTACTTTGTAGTAACTTTTTGGTCTTGAAAAAAGCCTCTCCAGCCAAAAGGGGACAGGGAATTAGTCCTTTGGAAGTAAAAGTGTGGTTTAGGAGAGTTCTGACCCCTCAAAAGCCAGAGTCACTGCCTTGTGTGTCTTGCTTTCTGTTCTGTGTAACCTATACCTGTGATTTGTGTTGTATCTTGGCGTTTGGGTGTAACTGGGGTCAGGGTTTTGGCTAGAATCAATGTCAGCCTCATGGAACTGATTCGGCGTATTTTGTCCTAGGAATATCAAAACCCAGCATTTCCCCTCTATTTATAGCTGTTACCGTTTATTTTATTTCCAGTTTGAAGAAGTTTGCAGGTCTCTACCAATTCAGCATCAAAGAAGGTCAATTAATGGGCAGGAGGATGAGTGAACATGTGGAACAGTTAGACCAAGAGGTGATAGGATTGAAGGAAGTGTGGATTGTGGAGGAGTCGAACAGGGATGTTGGGACCGTTAAAGAGTGGATTTTGGAGATGAAAGAGGCAGTACCTCTACAGGGTGCCCAAGGGCTATGGCTGCATCTAGGGCCACTACTCAGGCCACTCCTCCTCGAAAGTATCACATCAATAACATTCCCCTTACATGATAGGCCTTATGTTACAGTCCTTACTCTAGGATTGGGAGGATCACTGTAAAAATAAAAATAAAAAAATTGAAATTTTATGTGTATGACTGGTGCAACAATGGAACCAAACTGAATTGGCATCTAGTTTACTAGGTGGACCGACTAGCCCCCTGTGGTTCCTATAACATTAATAATAACTATAAAACAAAGTCAAAAAGATAGAGAGAACCAGTTCAGATCTGGAATAAATGCACACCATAATATAATTATTATAAATGTGAGCCACATGACAAGTAATATATCTTCTTAGGAATAAAATTACCATTTACTACAAATAAGATATCTCTTTTTACATCACAATTACAGCTACAAATAAAAAAACCATTTTCGTTATTTTAAGGGAATGAGATCCACTTTAACATGAAATGTTTAACAATCCGACATACTTTTCAGACCTGCAGTTCCAAATGCCAAATATGCACTAAAGGCAGATTACATTTGATCCCAAACATATTACAATGAGTACTTAAGAAACGAACAGTATGATAATAGCTATAATGAGTACAATCCCAGGAGAACAATCTCAGTTATTGTATCATAAGGCGCTCAAGGAAGACACTACTCAAGGCTAGTGCCTCGCGCCCATCAGAGGCGCTGCCTTCAACAAGACACTTCTAGATGAGTGCCTTTGGTGCTTTTTCCAGCTTTCAGGGAAAGCACCCTGACCTTCGGCACTTTTGTGTGTTTGAAGCGAAGAAGAAGTTTATTTATTAGCTTAGTCCAAAACTTTAAAAGATACTGATAGGATACATTAGGAAACTACAAAATCTCTCAATCTTAAGCCTAGCCCAAGACTCAAGATATTTAAGAATAGAGCAAATAGTCGTAGTTATTCTTATCTTACAATATTTAGATTATTAGGTTTTAAATAAAGCCGCCACCCCCAAGGGACCACAGACACAAACAAGCACTTTTGGTAACCCATAGAACACATGTACAAGTGACATAAGGGTAAAATTATAAATTACAATTTTATAAGTGCACACGATATAATTATGAGTTATGACTTAATGATTCTTATGCTTGAGTAGTGATATTAGTGACTTAAAGGAGTGCATTTGATGATTATTTGATTTATGACTATATGATTATTATGCGAGAATAGTTCATCTCGTCAAAAATGTTGCTCCGAATTTACATTTATCGAGTTTTGTTTGTAAAGCATATATTTTCCTACTTTAGCATTTTGCTTCACTAGATCATGTGCCTTTTCTAACACCACATGTAAGGCATTAGCACCTTGTACCCGCCTATTATCTTTGACTACTTTGATCCTAGCCGATTCACAAGTGCTACAAGCATTTTTGCATGTAGTCCAAGCAGAGGAGGAGATGATCTACATACCTGTTTGAACCTCTGCTTCTCCTTTTCGGCCTGCATTCAAATCCGAATATTTCAAAAACTCTTGCAGAAATTAGATTCTAGGGACAGCAGTAAGATTAACATTAAAAAAATAAAATAAAATAAAATAAAATAACCAGGATAAAAGCTATAAAGGAACGTGAAATCGTCATTTAATTATCAGTATTTAACTCAAAGAAGAAAGGTAGAAAATCCATCGCACAGGCTACCAAAGAGCCAGCTTTACAGGCTAAAGTGTATTTGCAAACAAAAAAAGGAAAAAAGAAAAACTGTGTAGCGCACCTCATCTATGACAGCGTTAAAAGATATGAAATTTTAGTATCGTGTCTCTTCTAACAGAACTGCGTGCTTAATTTTCAAAAGAAAAATAGCAAAGCAGCACTTGAAGCTGCAGAGCGTGTGGACACGGTCTGTAACTACACAAGACACATGAATACGAAAATTTTTCAACTTCTACAAGCATACCATTTCACTCGATAGTTGTGCATTCTCTGCCTCGAGCTGTGTCACCATAGTCTCTAGCTCAACAGTGTAAGCCTGTAAAGAACGTTATACTGATCAGCTTTTATAAATCAGTTACCACTTGGGAAACAATCTGAGACTAAACAGGATAAAATGGAAGTTCAAACTAACATAAATCAAGAAAGCACAAAACACTCAATTCAACACCCTCTATAGATTAAAGAGAAAGCTAGTTCCCCGTTATGATATGACTTAATAGAATTTTCAAACAAATCATCATTTCAACGTAAATTGATGAAGTAACGGCATGCAAATGCAAATATGTATATACCGATTAAAAAAACGCATCAGTTTAATTTAATTTAAATGAGAATCATATCATATTATATCATTTAAGAAAAGAGGTCAAACAGATAAGGTGAAGTAACCTGCTTGCGTTCTCTAGACCTGGCTGCAGACTCTCTGTTTTTTATCATCCTTCTCTGCTTCTGAAGCGTGGCCCTATCAACGGGTTCCTCCACAATCCTTCGCTTCCCTCTTCCCGCTGATGCTGCAACTCCAACTACTGTCCCGTCAATCCCATTTCCAAAAACCTCTATGGACGACCCTTCCTTAACCTGCACCGGCGTTGGCATCGGGAACTGAGCGCCACCGTTGATGGCGGCGGCCGTCGCCGCAGCATCCACGCGGAAACTCGCATGGCCAGGTACTACGGTAGGAACCCCTCTGACATCCTCCTCTCTTACAGCTCCAGCCTTGGCCAAAAAATCCTCCAAAGTCATGGCCTCCAAACCCTCCCCTGCACCCATCCGCCTCTGATCACCACCCTCCACCATCTGCTGCCACACCTCCTCGGCCGTCTTGGTGCCCAATTCCGCCGCAGCCGCAGCAGCAGCAGCAGCCGCGGGGAAATTGGGGTCCGACGGGAGGTGCGCCGGGTTGGGGTTATTATTGGGATCGGATGAAGAAGAGTAATAGGACTTGAGGAGATCATCCATGCTCAAAGAACCCAAAGCCTTGGAAGGGTCGTCGGCGCCGGCGTTGGAATCGTTGTGGTTGTTAGTATTATTGGTGGTGTTGTTGGTGTTGTGGGTGTTGTTCTGGAGATCAGCGAGAATAGAAGAAAGGGAATATAAAGAAGACTGGCGTGGCAGATCCGGATTCGTCGTGACCAACTTCGACGACGCCATGCCGGTGCCGGATTTCTAGGGAATCCTTGAGAGGTAACTCCTGGGATTTCTCTATTGTAAAGTCCCACTTCAGTGTATGAGGCTGTGAGAGGGTGAAATCGCTGCTATTTCGGGGTCAGATTACAGAGCAAGAAAGAGATATATAGCTCAGAGAAGACGACTCGTGGGGCAGGGGAAAAAAAAAGAAAAGAAAAAGCAGTTTTGAAAAACACTGTGGGAAGGGAAAAAAATAAAATGGAAGTATGGAAGTTGAAGCAAGGAACGAACCCATATTTATAAAAAGAAAAAAAAATTATTGGTCCTTGATTTGCATTAAAAAATATTTTTTATGAAAAATTATCTTAATATATGCGATTAATAGGAGAATTTTTAAAAATTATAAATTTGAGAGATAAAATAAAATTTTTCTTTTTATGAAAAATAGATAAAATAAGTTGAAATCTTATATTTAGCACATAGAAAATACTTGAAAGCTATAAGTTGTACTAAAAAAATTAAATTGGATTAAAAAAATCAGGAAAAATTATTCTTTCACCTAGCTAGAAGGGAAATATATTTTAACCAATAAATCTGATGCATTATATTAGATTAATGAAGTTCGAGCTTTTTATTAAATCAAAAAATAATTTATTTGAAAATAAATAATTATCCTTCAATTGATAATCATTTATTAAAAAATTTATTTTTAATTAAAAATAAAGATTACTTTTCATAGATTTCTGTATTGCAAATTAATATTTAAAAATTAAATTTTAATGAGAAAACATCGATTTAATTAATTAAAAACTTTATGAATCCATGACAAATTTCTATCATGTTGCATGGCGCAGGAAGTAAGAGTTCGTTGGTCAAGGTGATAATTTTGGAATAAAATCTTTAGTAATTAATAAATTAATTTAAAACATTTTCACCTATAATAACTAGTCACTGAGATCGCACTAATACTTTAAAAACATATGGCAAAAAATTTAATACCGTGAAAAAAATAAACATTTCTTTTATATATATATATATATATATATAGGCATATATAATATTCAAAACTACATGACTAAATTCAAACCTCAGATTCAGTGTGTGTTTGGATTGGGTTTTACAACTATAAACGTGCCTTAGATAATGTGTAACCAGCATTGAAGGGTTTAGCTTTTTCTCCAAAAGCTTCTTGAAGAAACCTAGTCACAAGCAAAGCTCAAAATTGGAGCTTTTCCCCTTGAAAATGTGGAGAGACCAAGGTGGAGAGAGAAAATAATGAGAATGAGAAGAAAAATAAAGGTATTTGAGTGAGTTGTAATTTGATCCAATAACTTGATATTTTTTTCTTAAAAAGCAAAAAAATTAACTCATAAAATTTAATTATTTTAATTTATTACTTTTCTTGAATTTATCAAATTGTACACATTTGATATACTACTTTCTTTCTTTTTTTTATCTGAAATTTGATATACTACTTTCACTCCTTAACATATGATCTAAATAGCCTCATTTAAAGAGATTAAGGAAAATAAATAAGTTACTTGATTATATTATATATTATATGATCTATCTAAAGTATTTATGTACTCTATCGGTCATTAATATAAAACATATTTAACTAATTTGATTAGATTAAGGAAATTAGGTAAGTTAGTTAATTATAAGAAATATGACATATTTTTTCTAAAACATCATAATCATCTTTCTTAATATCCTCCATCTCTCATTTACTTGATTATGGTTAAAGGACTATCTATATAGGTAATTTAAGAAAAATTAATAAATATGAAAAGTAGGTCTTATATTCGAACCAAAATTAACTTAAAAATTACGTCCTATATTAAGGACCGGAAGAATATATCATTAGATTACATATTAGTTTATAATTTAAGCAAAATTAATTTTAAAAGAAGATAAATATAAGTACTTTAAAGTAATTTATTTAACTTTCTTAATCTTTCCAAATTAAATAACTAAATCTTGTTTTAATAATCAAATGTGGTAAGTTATAAAATTCATGCTATTTTTAATTATTTTACATCTAACTTTTTTTTATATTATTTATTCAAACAAGTTTCAATTTATCAAACTGACTTTTATAAAAACTAATCCAAATATAAATCACGTTACATTAACTAATTTCTACTCTAACTTCACCCAAAAAAAAAACTTCTACTCTAACTTACGTTTGTAAAAAATGAAATAAATTAAAAATCAGTTTTGTCACCAACAATCCAAATACATTCTTAATATTTAATTAGTCACAACTCCTTGGAGTTAAAAAAAAAAAAAATTTTTATATTGAATACATTTCAGACATAGCGGGCAACTATATATATACTACCTTCAATCGTTAATATAAAACCTAGTTGATTAATTTTAGAAGATTAAAAAAATTAGTTAAGTTAGTTATTTGTAATAAATAAGTATTATTTTTCCTACAATACCCTTACTAATCATGTGTATTAGCGAAAACTACCATTTAATAGAACATTTAACATGTGCAACTATTACAAGAATTACTTTTGAAAAAATGAATAAATATGAAATACAAAGTGAATTGATGTCTTATATTTAGAATCAAATTAAAAGTTAGACTAGTTCTTATATTAAGAACTAGAAATAGCATATACTACCTCCAATTCTAAATACAAAAGCTAATTGACTAATATGAGTATTTTAAGAAAATGAGTCAAATTAGTTATTTGTAATAAATATGCGTTATTTTTCCTAAAATATCCTTGCTAATCAAATGTGTTAGCTAGAACTATCATTATTAGAAGGAATACCTTGAGAAAAAATAGATAAATATGAAAGATAAAGTGGATTGGAATCTTATATTTAGAATCAAATTAAAAATTAAACAAGATCTTATGTTAAAGATCAATATTATTTTTTAGATGTTTCAAAAAAGTGTGAACTCTTGTTAAAAGTCAACATTTTTAGTAATGCACTGGTATCTTTATATAATTTTAAAACATATTTGTTTAAAAAAACTCTTAAATTTTAAAGGGTTGACCATCTGACATTAAAGTTTCTTTTTAACATATTGCATGGTTGCATTGACTTGTTCTTGAACTATTGTTAGTAGCAAACTGGGTTGAATTCATAAATTCATTTCCCAATTTTTTCTATTTTTATGTTTCTAACTCATCATATCAACTCACTCTTAACCTTATATTAATTTTTTGGATTTAATTATGATTAGTGACTTTATGTATGGATTTTAGAGAAATTTCTTTAACTATGAAGGTTGATGGATTTAATCTCAATTATTTACATTAGAATTATATGTTTAAATAAAATTGTTATCATTTTTTATATTTTAATTATTTAATATATGTTTTTATAAAAAAATTTCAAAAAAAATTTTCTAAAATTTCAAAATCACATGCTAGGAATGATTAAAAAATGTGTTGTTATTAACTTTTCAAATATTATTAATTATTATTAAAATATAGTAAATAAAACTGATTTGGAATGTAAAAATTCAAAGATTTTTTTGTGTGTGGATTCTCCCTATTTTTAATAGATATTTATTAATAAAAAATTCTTATGAATGTACAATCCAAATTCAATCTTATGATGAGTTTGGTTAAACCCGTGATGAGTTTCACAATCTCCATATATTAAAACTCTAAAATGAATCGCATCTAACATAATATATTAGCAGCATTTGGGATCCAGGTACTCGTATTAGCAATAGATAATACTACTTCCAGTTTTAAATATAAAAGTTAGTTAATTAATTTAAGGAGATTGAAAAAATAAGTTAAATTAACTGTAATAAATAAATGTTGTCTTTTCTAAAATATCCGTGCTAATCAAATATATTAGCTAAAATTATAATTATTAAAAGGACTACCTTAAAAAAATACATAAATGAGAGATAAAATAAATTAAAATCTTATATTTAAGATCAAAAATAAAAATCAAATAAGATTTTATATCAAGCACCGCATATATAGTACTACCTCCGGTCCTTAATATAAGACCCTATTTGACTTTTATTTTGATTCTAAACATAAGACCCCAATCACTTTGTCTCTCATATTTATACTTTTTTTTTAAAGTAACCCTTCTAATAATGATAGTTTTAATCAATATACCTGATTAGTAAAGATATTTTAGGAAAGACAACACCAATTCAAGACAAATAATTAACTCAACTTACTTCCTTAATCTCCTCAAATTAGTCAACTGGGTCTTATAATTAGGACCGGAGCTAGTATCTGTTTTCATGTACATTCCATATTTGCTAGGATTTAGGCGTATCTTTTACGAATCAAGACTAGCCAATCCTAATTAAGCCGGTACAAGATGTTTAAAAAACAAAAAACAAAATTACTCGTATTATTCTTCCACCAAAAGAAATTAGTATTCTTTTTTACCAGAATAAAAAATTACTATTCGAGGTAACAATTTTGGTGACATGATTCTTTTAAAATAAGACCTCAATTATTGCAGTGAAATAATTTTTGAAAAAAAAAAGTAATAAAGGGATTGATAATACAATGATTTTAATAATAGTAATAATAGCTAATAAAATAAGTAAAAGTTTGGGGGATTCTTCCAAATACATAATAATTATACCGTTTTTTGCGCCACCAATGATACCTTATGCATAGTTATTGAAAATTAAATACAAAATCCTTAAAGATAGTTAATTTAATTTATTGGTCTCGCCCACTAGTTTTCTTATATTTTTTATGGGTAAAAAATAACAAAGAGATAGAAGTGTGTGTGTGTTTGATACCCCACGATGTAGTGTTAAGTCAGATAATAAAATAATTATGAAATTAAAATTTAACCCAAACAATATTCATTCCAACAAATTAAATATGTTTTAAATTCATCATCATTTTATTAACGATGGTGGACTTAAATAGGTGGAATTGATTCTTCAATTAAGTGTTTGTATCATGTAAATGAAAAATATATATATTATCAACAAAGATAGCCTGTGCTTACTAAATGCCAAATATTGTATAAAAACAAATCACCATTGTTCTGTAATTTTACTGATAAAAATAAGATCAAATTAAGCCAATCTTTTGTTGAGTTTTGTTCAAATTAAACGAATCTTATTTTTATTGTTTAAAATTTTTTAGTTAAATTTTAAATGTTAATAAAAGTATATCATTTTTTTTTGCTTGAACAATTGTAAATAATATCC